ACTGCCGACCTTGCCGAATCATTTCCAACCCATAGTGACCCTATATATAGGGTGTCCGAGGAGCAAATGGTGAGCTTGAACCTCTGACCTTGCATTTCAAACCAATTTTGCAGTCCAATGTGTTAACCCACAGTGCTATACTAGGACTCCTTGTCAAATACAGATGAATACAAAATGCATCTTTTTTTATTTCATACAAAATGAGTTCTTAAAAGGAGACATGAAACTAGTCCTCTTAATACTTTAGCTGTTTTAATAGGAAAGACTTTTTAAATCCCAAGAGCAAAAATGATCATATTTGAATTTCAAAAAGTGAATTTTTGGAATACAGTGGCTCTAGTGTTCCATAACTTCTGGTGTGGCGCTGTGGGATCAGCACTGACTGTGAACCACAAGTTCGGCAGTTCAAACCCAGCAACTACTCTTCGGATACACTATGCAGGGGTCACTATGAATCAGATCTAACTAAATTGATTAATACAAGAAGCATTCCAGAAAATACACTTTTAAAAACTGTTTCCTTAGTACTCAGGACCCTGTGTATGTATTTCCGCATATGTATGTATTTATAGCAGTTACAGTGGAAAAATTCTAATTTTTCCTTCTTATTTACACAACTTATACCTAAGACTTTCATAAATGGCTTTTAGAATATGTTAATGTTTTGAAAGACCAATATTTGGTACCTTGTTCCCTTGCAACTTAGATGTAAAAACTCTATAGTGTGTTTATTATTACTGCCAGTAAGTAGGTTGGCCCTAAAGGGAATTTGCCATTAGGCATTTCAAGATGATGAACTTTTATGTGTATATTTGCACATGAGGATAGTCTTCATAAATGATTAGGATAAGGGTGTGAATAAGAATGTACTTGTTCCTTATATGTAAGTTTTTGCCTTGAAAATGGACTACACTGATCCACTGCTTGTGAATAATATTGTTCCTATAGGTGTGCAAGCATTTCCTTGAAGCTATTGAGAACAACAAGTATGGCTGGTTTTGGGTATGCCCTGGAGGGGGCGATATGTGCATGTATCGTCATGCACTTCCTCCTGGATTTGTGTTGAAAAAAGATAAAAAGAAAGAAGAGAAAGAAGATGAAATTTCATTAGAAGACCTCATTGAAAGAGAGGTAACTAGTTTCATTTTTCTATTAAAAGTGACTGCAGTCTTTCTTGTGAAATTTTAATAATTACCACTTGGGGGCAATACAGAAAGAGAAAAAAATACTGTGACCTTTTCTCAAAGTAGCCTTGTTTTTTCTTTAATTAATCTTACCGGTCTAATATATAAACCCAACCATAAATATTAACCAGTGATGGCATTAATTTTAGAATTATGAAATAATTTCTGAAATACTGGTAGGTGGCTTATCAAATTATTTGCCAGTAAATTGATTTATATCTGGTTATAATAATTCATTAGTTACTAAACTGATTAAATTTGTAAACTTTTTACTGTTCTGTAAAGCTTGTTTTTGTTTGTTTGCTTATTTAGGATTTCATTTATTTATTTATTTCACCATTTTACTAATCATTAACATTTATGGAAGGAGATCATTCACGTAAATGTTTTATTATGATCCCTGGGCTCACTTAAATAATAGAGAATAGAAATTCTAATCAAAAAGGGTCATCAGCTATTCATACCTGGCTCAGCACACAAGTTTTATCTGTTAGAAATAGATTTAGGGTTGTATATTTCAAGATATAGAGGGTTTTTTTTAATGGCTTATTTTGTTGAGATTAAACAGAAACATATACCAATTAAAGTTTTTTCATGTACATTGATTACATTAAGTTGCGCAATCACTCTTTCCCTCCTTTTTTTTCTTACTGTGAGCTGAGTGATAGTTTACATGGGAGAACATCGGCTTTACACCATAGTTTCATTGCAGTGATTACAGTCTCCTCCGTGCATCATCATTCAACAGTATTTGCTTCCATTCCCTCTGGGGTTATGGGGGGTGTACACAAAAACACACAGGAATACATAATAATTTAAACAACTAAAGGGTAAATTTTACAAGCCTGCTTCCTGTCCACCGGCACTCATTCCCTCTTTCCATGAGTCTAGAGTCCTCAGCTGCTCCCTTTCTCCATGTCCTCATCTCTGCCTCCATCTCTGGTGTCATTGCTTCTCTGAATAGGGTCCCACATTCCAGTTGTAGTCCTTCATTGATAGTCCTAGGGTCCTCTGTTTCTGGACTGTAAAATTATGCACTCCCCTTTTGTTGTTGCAAACTTCTACCTTTAGAGTTGTGACAGTCGCAGTTAGTCAGGATAACAATAACTATTGAATCATAAGAATCTTAGCCCCATCTCTTTTCACCAGACCCTTCTAAACAAGATGAAAACTACTCAGTGGGGACTCTTATCTTCCCCCGCACATTCCTAAACTAAACTCCCTCTTGAAAACTTGTAAGCCAGTCACTTAGTGCCTTTCTTGCCCCTTTATTTTAAGTAGCCAGTGTTTTAAGTTGCCTGTCTTTATCTACCCTATGTACACTGGGGATAGAATTGATCCTTGATGTGAAGACTCCTTCCTGCTCAGTTGGTATTTTGAGCTACTATACATACACCCCTTGGAAACCCTGTACAGGGTCGCTATGGGTCGGCACCGACTCGACGGCACTTAACAACAACAACAATCCATAAGTATAGGTCAAGCTCATCAAATTGTAGCAATTTATGCTCATTTCCTTTATCAAAAATTATTTTTTTTATATTCCTCTAGTCAAGTTCTGATTATCAAGCCATCGAAGCTAAGTCAGATGGGTACTATCTGCAAGTTTGGTCTAGCCCTCCTTTTGTGAACTGTTCCACCTCCAGTTATTCCTGCCCCCTAATATTCTTATCTGATCTACATTTATTCTTTAATTTACTTTCTTGGGTGCTTCACACAGGAGACAACAGAATATAATAGAAAATGTTGACTTTAGGGTCAGGTTCATAAAGGATTGTGTACCAGTTCTACCACTAATTAACTATTAAACTTACGTAAATTTCTGAAATACTTCTTCAATTTATTATGTGTGGGAAATCAATGTGATGGCGTGCATGCGTGTGTGTGTGTGTGTGTGTGTGTATTTCATGTAGCACTAAACACATGTTAGATGTTCAGCACATACTTTTTTTTTTTGTAATGTGTTTCTTACTTGGTTAATGGTCTTAAGTAATAGGTAGTGTTTAGGGTTGAGTTTTGTTTGTCATTTCCTGAGGAACACAACAAAACTTAGATATTGTTATAAACAGTTCTTTTATATTTATTGTTTTCAGCAGTTAGCTCATTATAAATAATTTTTCAGACCAATTTTGAACAGTAGTCAGCTTCAAAATGAATTATTTTATTATGTTTAGAAATATTTGCAACTCTGGATATTCATTTTGCTTCATTGCCACCTAAATTAAAACTGAATCTGTTGAATCTGTACATGGGTTCTTTAGAATGGTCACTTGTAAGTTTTAAATAATTGGATTCATTAGAAAAGTGTTAATAAATATTTTTATAGGTGACTTTGGGGGGAAAAATTAACACATTATCTTTGCAGCGTTCTGCCCTAGGTCCAAATGTTACCAAAATCACTCTAGAATCTTTTCTTGCATGGAAAAAAAGGAAAAGACAAGAAAAGATTGATAAACTTGAACAAGATATGGAAAGAAGGAAAGCAGACTTCAAAGCAGGGAAGGCACTAGTGGTATGTCCCTAACTCACCTGAATACGTTTTTTCATTTTCTAATTTCATGTCATCCAAAATTCTGTTCCTATTTAATCTTGTATACATTTAAACTCTGACTTAGAAATGGCTTGAATTTTGGACTGACTTGATACATTTCTGTGCCTAAATAGATAAGTGGTCGTGAGGTGTTTGAATTTCGTCCTGAACTGGTTAATGATGATGATGAGGAAGCAGATGATACCCGTTACACCCAAGGAATAGGTGGTGATGAGGTAAGAAGCAGCTTTGGCACCTTATTTCCTCATGTTAATTTAAGAGTAGAATGGCATGGTTTAGAAGTCCAGACTGCTTCAGTTCAAATCCTGAGTCCAACTGTAGGAAATTACTTAACATTTTCTGCTTTCACTCTTGTCTGCAAAATGGACGTAATAATTATCTCTACATTATAGGGGTCTTGGGAGAATTAAGTGAGTTAAATAAATACAAGAGACTTAATTGCAAAAGTATATTTCTTCTTTAGATTAGTTTAATATTTTATACTAGGTCATAAGCTGTCAAAGAAGAAACTTCAAATATAATGTTGCTGTTCTTTTTCATATATTTAGAAATAAAAAGAAATGAATTTGTCAATAGCCAAATGTTTGTTTTCACTTGACATTAGTTGTAACTGATTCGTGAAGATAAATGTCAGGGATGAAAGGCAAGTCATTGGTGAGAATGGCTCTATTGGTAACTTTCTTTTCTATGTATTAAAGGTGGATGATTCTGTGAGCATTAATGACATCGATCTAAGCCTGTACATTCCCAGAGCTGTAGATGAGACAGGGATTACAGTAGCCAGTCTTGAAAGATTCAGCACATATACTTCAGAAAAAGATGGTAAGTATGCTAAGTTTTTCTTCTAAGAATTGGGAAGCTATTTAAAGAAAGGCTAATCTAGGTCTCTGTGTCTTTGAACCTGGTATCTGACAATGCTGTCAGACTAGTCCTAATGTCAGTCTGCAGAATGATTTACTTACTCTTTTTAGAAATAGGGTTCTGGTGACATGTACCAAATGCAAACACTTCAGAAGTTACAAACCCCAAGACTTTGTTATCAGAGATGTTTGAAATAACTAAAGTCTAAGTTAGAGTATTAAACATTAATCTTTGTGTAGACATGAATGTCCTTAAACAAGAAAAAGCAAAATTTTGTTTTCTCAGTCAATTATGTCCTAGTAGGAAAAGTAGCTATTTAGTCTTAGGGTACTTTTACACAGTTGGATGACGTAATGAAATATTTATGGGTTTATACCCATTTACAGTGTTACACTCTGGTAGTATAGTGGTTATAAGTAAGGCTGCTAACCTCAAGGTCAGCAGTTTAAAACTACCAGCTTTTCCGTGCAAGAAAGATGAGGCTTTTTGCTCCTGTAAAGATATACAGCCTCGGCAACCATGTACAGGGTTGCTGTGAGTCGGAACCAACTCCACTGCTTGCCACCAATGGAGTCCTAGTATGGTGCTGTGGGTTAATGTGCTAAACTGCAGAGTCATTTGAACTGCAATGTTTGAGGTTCAAGCTCACCAGCCGTTCCTTGGAAACCCTATACAAGGTCTCTATGGGTCAGAACTGACTCGATGGCACTTAACAAGAGCAGTGTTACAACTAGTGTGGCTTAAGTACTGTTTGTAAAATCCAATGACATGTATAAGTAGTTGCTTATAAAAAAATTTTTGTCATATCACTTATTCAAACAAAATATAATGTAGACTTGGCATGGCTAGGTCATATAAGAAACAGAAAGTTGTATAAGAAAGATAGACCTTGATCTCGAGAAACATATAAACCATTAAAAGGTCAAATGGCTATAATAAAATACGTTATAATAAATATAATTGGTACAAACAAGCTCAGAAAAAGAAAATTCAATTCTTGGAGTAATCCCAGGGAAAGCTGTTAATATAAAAGGAAAAAAGGAGGTGTATCAATCTGTGGCTGTCAATTTTGACTAGTGAAATAAGGTTTTATTTCTAGACCTTGTTGATTTCTGGTTTTATTTTTAGAAAACAAATTAAGTGAAGCTTCCGGAGGTAGGGCAGAAAATGGGGAAAGATGTGATTTGGAAGAGGACAACGAAGGTGAGGAACAGGAAAATGGGGCCCTTGATGCTGTTCCTGTTGATGAAAACCTTTTCACTGGGGAAGATTTGGATGAACTAGAAGAAGAATTAAACACACTTGATTTAGAAGAATGACACTAACCAAGTTAATGAACAGATGATGTCAGCTCAACATGAGTTGAAATTGACTACATTAAGTTTTTTTCCACCTAGAATTCTTCAACAGGATATGTTTCTTTTCCATGCTGATTCTGGAGACGTTTCCCACTCCAAAAAAGGAATGTTCGCCCTACGTTTTTGTTTTTGTTTTGTTACGTTGACTACACATCTCATAGTAAGTTCAGAGTAGTTCATGGTAAATTGAAATATAATGGTCATTTCAGAAAATGATTGATTGTTGTAAGTGTCCACTGAAGTAGGAAGTGTAACTGCTTTTCCAACTTGATTTTTATTGGGCATGTGTTATTGACCAGGCACAACATAAATTCAAATATGAAGCATTCTTCATTTAATGCGGTTTTTATTGAGTGACTTTATTTCCTTTGTATTTATATATTAAAAAGACGGCATAAATTATGAACACTGTACATCATAAAGGAAAATTGCATATTACAAATTTAGTGTTGTATTGACTTTGGACAATTAGATGGACTTTTGAGATGGAACTTCTTTGATCTGACAGGATCAGCTGTGATACCCTGTGTTAAACTGTTTTCAACGTGTCCCCTTCCTTTTTGCCAATAAAGTTGTAAATAAAGACCATCATACATTAAAATCCAAATATGGGCACTTTTTCTTTTTTAGTTTTTCTATGTTCTTAATTTCTAGCTGTAGAAATTTAACTAAATGTTACACTCTAAAAGGTTACCTTAATCTTTATTACAGAAGCATGTATAATAATATTTAGTAGCACTAGTACTGTTTAACCTCCAAAAGCCTCTCTAGATAGTACTATATGAAAGAAAGGGTGCTTCCTGAATTGATAAAGCATAAACCTAATGAAATATACAATTTAATGAGTCTTACCTCCCAGGATCGGACATTGTTTCGTTCTGCTGTGCATGGGGTCACTATGAGTCGGTTCCGACTCAATGACCCCTGACAACAACAACAACCTCACAGTTGTTGAGATCAATGGTGTTTTAATAGTTCGTACTAAAATCTGATGATTCTGGTTGAAAGTGTTAACAAATTCATCATAAAATATTGGTTTGAGGGTCTTTGGCACTAAAATTCCATCAGAAATTATAGTGATAAAGTTTAATTTGTTCATGAAGTTTTTATACTTTTATCATTTTTATATAGTGTGTTTTTTAATACTGTTTGTTATTTGCAAATATAAATGGATTTTAAGACAGCTATGTTGTTGTTGCTGTTAAAGTTTAGCTTTGGAGTTGGTTCCAACTCATAGTGACCCTGTGTAGGGTTTCCATGAAGCAGCTTGTGGGTTTAAACTATCAACCTTGTGGTCAGCGGTCCCATGTTTCTCCTACAAGCACCACACTAGCAGTCCAAAGATAACCGTAGTCTTACATATTCGTTTTTTATCCATGACATGCACATTATGTGTTTGTGTATTGTTTGCACAAAATAGGGTAAGTCTCTGTGTGGTACAAATGGTGAACATGTCTAGCTGCTAACCAAAAGGATGGAGGTTTGAGTCCATCCAAGGACACCTCAGAAGAAAAGCCTGGAAGTCTGCACCTGAACAGTCATTAAAAAACCTGTGGAGCGCAGCTCTATTCTGACACACATGGCTTGCCTTGAGTTGGAATAGACTTGACGTCTGATTGCTGATAAAGATGATAAAACTAAATCAGATGTTAGGTGACCTGGGCCCTAAATCTGCCCAGAGAAGTGTGATAGAGGTTAAATGCAATCTAAAGTACTTCTGCGTTGTAAAACCTAAGAAAATATAAATCACATCAAATGATAATAACAAAGTTGATAAAAGACAGGACTTCATAGCTATAAGTTTATGCATGAAAGATTTGTCCTATTCTCATTGTGACAAAGTTTCAGATGTTACTTATTGCAGTATTTAATAAGGAAACCTTTAATAAATACTTTAGAGCTTAAACCTTTTGTTGTAATGCTATGACCCAAGCAATTTTTTCACACATCTTTGAAAATCTAAAAAATTTCCTAATAACTGCCTCATGAATAAAGTTACAATTCATTTACTACAATAGGTTTATGAAGTCCACATGAAAGATGTGTTTAAGGTCTTTAGTTTAAATTAAAAGCATTATGTCTTATAGGACATGAGATTTTTGCAAACCAAATAATAATTTAAAAGAATAAATGTTTCATGTGAAGGTAGTTTTTGGTATCATCAAATCTTTATTTAGGATGGACTTCATCCACCTTGCTCTTTTAGGTTTCTTCTGGTATAAAATAAAACTAAGCCCATTGCTTTCAAGTCAGTTTCAACTCAAAGCAACTGTATAGGACAGTAGAACTGCCACATTTCTCAGGAGATTTCTGTAATCTAACTTCAATTATGTGACTTAGCTTCATTTTAAAGGTTTGTGGTTTAGAATTTTTAAAACTTGTACTCCTTTCGTAAAAGGGGAACTGTGGCTTTGCACTTAGTTTCTTATTCTATAAAAAGAGAAGTAATTTTCTGAAACTTAACTATCATTTTCTTCTTACGCTACAGACTATTATATCAACGCTTTTTTCCCCCCCTATTATATTCATTAACTTGGAGTCTTGGTACTGTAGGATAAGCACTAGACCACAGGGTCTGTTTGAACTGCAAGGTCGGCAGTTCAAACTTACCAGCCAGTCCTCGGAAACCCTAAACATGGCTGCTATGAGTCGGATTCAACTTGATGGCACTTTAACATTGATGATTAATTATGTTATGTCGCTGAGTGTTACCAAGTCAGTTTTACTGTCTAAGTGACTGTGTGACATCAGTAGTGATCTAGACTTTAAGGAAGCAGAGTGCCAGTTCTTTTCTGCCACCAGAACTGTTGGTGGGCTCAAGCTGCCACCTGTTTGAGTTAGCTGCCAAGCACTTAACTTTTGTCACCAGGGCTCCTTGCTTGCCAGAATCTTTCTGATTTAAAGTAGTTGTATTGTGAATTTTTATCTTTGCATATATAGATGACTTACATGATACAGTAAGGCTTCCATTTGTAAACTAGTATAAAATAATTGTACCATATATATATATATTACTGTTGGATTTGTCAGCTCTTGGCCATTAAGTAATTTAGAAGGGAATCATAATGAAATTATAGGTCACACATTTAGGTGTAGCAGATCTTCTAAGAAGCACTACATCCATTCTCAAGTACACGTTAAGTGGACAGATAGAGTTTGTGGTGATAGTTCATGCCGGTAATTATTGTATGAATTCTATTCCTATTCTGGGTTATGACTTTTATTAGAGTACTGT